CTAGGTGGTTCATCCAGTCCTTGCCTGGCCCATGGTCTAATATGGGTGGAGTTTATTCTGGGAACGTTTCCGAAAAGGGGTTCGCTGTGACCGACTACGAGTTAAATTGTTATCGGTATGCTTAAGGATAAGAGGTTCAGGACCATTGATCAAGGGCATCCTGGATAACCAGACAGGCCTTTAGATTGTATAATAGGCTCGCGTGTCTGCTTCGTTGGTTTATGTAATGCTATACATGTTGATTCTGAAATTGGTGCAGTCACACTGACTGGTTTAAACGATTGCTTCTGAAAGAAATTTGGCTTTGATTTTGAACGGCCTTTGATTGATTTTGGTAGAGTTGGCACAACCGCGAACGATTGCTTTCGAACTGTCTTTGGTTTCGACTCAGAATTTAAAATTGTATCAACAATAAGACATGAATTTTCAAGAGAAGCTTCAACACATTTAAATTCCGGTGTAATTGAAGATTTGTCATAATTTGCATTCAAACTGTACTCGTCCGCCTCATAGTTCGGCTTATTGTTAATAATTAGGGATATCTCCTCTGGGGAATCTTCAGTACATTGAAATTCCGGTATGATTTCGTCACGCTTAGGGCTTTCTTTGTTTGCAACTTTATATTCTGATTTCCGACTACGAGTTAAATTATTGTCGGTATGGTTAAGGATAGATTCAGGACAATTGATCAAAGGCAGCTTGGATAACCAAACAGGCCGTCTAGATTGTGTGATAGGCTCGCGTGTCTTCTTCGTTGGTTTATGTAATGCTATACATGTTGATTCTGAAACTGGTGCAATCACACTAAATTCCGGTGTAATTGGTGATTTGTCATACATTGCATTCACACTGTACTCGTCTGCCTCATAGTTCGGCTTATTGTTAATAATTAGAGATATCTCCTCTGGGGAATCTTCAGTACATTGAAATTCCGGTATGGTTTCGTCACGCTTAGGAATTTCTTTGTTTGTAACTTTGGGTTCTGATTTACAATTCTGACCGCCAAATGCGTCAACATTTAAATTTTCACCTTTAAAAACTTTGAAAACAAATTCTATTTTTTGTGTTATTTCTCTCTCTTCAGAAAGTTCCTGCCTTAGAATTTCGATATTTCGAAGACAATCAGTTATAGGAGAACATACCTGCTGTGCATTAGCCAGAGATTGCAAAGCGTCGGTTCTCGACTGTAATAGTTCAATGTTAAGTTTCATGTCCTCCAAATCGGGTGAAATTTCACAAAAATAAACTATAGTTTATGTTTGCGATGTTACTCTGAGTGCATATCCACACCGGGCGAGCTTGAAAAATATGCCCGGCCACGGTGGGATTCGAACCTACGACCTTTGGAATACTAGCCCAATGCTCTTCCAACCAGGGGCGGTCCAGTTTCTGAGGTAACTGATGCCTAAGACCTCGCATTTGTAGGGGGTTCCGGGGGTGTCCTCCCCCGGGAAATTTTGAAATCTAGGACCTCGGAAATGCGACTTGCTGCGTTCTGAGCGAACTCTTTTGTTCCAATTCATACATCAGAGTCACAAAATTATTTGCTGCATTTTTGGAAAGCACGTAAAAACTTGAACCTATATCGTAAAAACAACATAATTTCTCTATATAAGAAAACAATGTTTGCTTGTACAAGTGTAATAGCAACAGTGGTACATAAGTCTCTATTCAAAAATAGTATTTACCGTGCTTCTTGTACTGCCTTAACTTTTCTATTGAAAAATATTTCGGCAAAAAATCACGAGGAACGCAAATACACACATGCGTGTAATAAAGGTGTATACAGTGTGATCCACTAGTTGCATTGCTAGACTCAGAAGGCAGTGTTATTGTGTTGTTTTTTAACCACCTTCCATTATTAGTTTCCACTAATTTCCAATGTTCCATGAGTAAAATCTTCTAGCATTAGAATGGTGAATAAAGGTATTTTGTGCTCTAGTAAACTTATTTATATACAACTCTCTCTTATGCTGCTAATCTTACTCTGTATGGACAGTGTGATTGACATCAGTTGGTCGATTTCATTAAATTCATTCACCCCTAGCTGCCTTTGACATGAACTGCATGGTGAATAGCCCACACTCTGAATACTGAGAATATTTCCCTGTGACCAGGAAACCAGTAAACTAACACACAACAAGCACTGGGTTTAAAATTCTATTAGTATAACTAGGTACACACGACCACAAATTTTAAATCAATAGAGACTGTGTGTAAATTGATTTAATAAACTATCGTAGTTGGAAATTGTTTGTCAAATGAACCTACCAAACTGTACAATCATTATGATAAACAATATACCAATATGACATAATTGAATCATGTCTTCTATCTGTTCCCTTTTGCCTGCCTTTCAACTAATATTAATATTAGTATTCTTTTAAGATGTTGTCAATGTAGAAAGGCTGCACAGTAGTATTGATGAATATTTTCCCTGTGTTATTATATAAATGCACATCTTTGTCAAATATATCCATACACTTATCAATGGTAATCCTGAGGGTATATAGTATGGGGACAATTAGCACTACAAATATATAATCTAATTAAATATATTTTCCAAACTATCCCACTTTTCACTTTTGTGAGCAAATTTCATAGTTATATCCTATATACACCAGTTACAATTACATACAGTATTTATACCGTCCATCATTTTATCATTCTAAGATTAAAATCTGTCAGGAGAATGACATATACAGCTTATATCAAATTATATTTACACAGACAAAGCATATATACTCAACTATGGTAGGCGAGCAAGACCAGGTAATCATCTTTGTTTGCAAAATATCCAGTAGTACAGTAATTGCCCAATAACTCAGGCAATGCAAAGCAATTAGACTCTTGTCATGAGGCATGCCAGCCCATTTCCATATAAAATGAAAATGAAATGTAATAGGAGATACCACTGGAACTTGCAACTTGAACCAATTACCTTTCAATGTAAACTCCCCTTAGTCTTCTAACCAATATTGCATCACTATTAGAAATCTCATTGATATTAACCTGCAATATTATTATGCACTGTAATTACATACAGAGCCTGTACAAGTCTTGACCCACACCATAGTTTTATTTTTAGTATCGGTATCCAATCAAAATGTGCCAGGAGAAATGTCGATTTCACATAATTTAACAACAAGCTAAATATAGTTACAATATCGCTTAATCTATAATTATTTAATTATATATAGCATTAATTAACCAAAATATCAAAAAAATACATTAAATATGGCATGAATACTCATGCTAGAAATAGCCAATCAGAGTTACAACCATAAAGGCAGTTGTAGGACACAAACGTTTAATAACATGTGTATCAGGTCTTCATTTCTCTTTGCCCGCCAGCTGTGAGAAAAATGAAGGTCTGGGCACAGGTTATAATCCCATGTAAACAGAGATGAAATTTGCCTCAGTAAAGCAAGCTGTCAAGTTTGGTATTGGGGCTGGTTTGCCTCCAGACAAGCAAACCTCTCTTACTCGGTAAAGACTGTAAAATGTCAAACTATCTCATCCGCCCCCCCCCCCTGTTGGTATAAGCAATAGTATTTATAAATATACACAAACTTTAATTATTATGTTAATACAAACAAATCTGCATTAACTGTGTAGCCCATTTTCCACTTTATACACTTCTTGAATTGAACAATGAACTACAATGAACTACAATGTAAAATATAGATAAATTTCACTTACTTTAGAGCCCTCAGTTCGAGTTTCACATAGTGGGCATCTCACAGTATAAATATACTTCAATTCTTGTACTTAGATGAAAGATTAGATTCATTCCAAGCCTTGGTAATTAATTCGGTAATTTGTTCTCCGTTTTCTCCGTCAATGTCGAGAAATATTTCTTCCCATTATTTGTCTCATTTGCATATAGTGTTTGCATATCCTTGCCGCCGCCATGCCATGACTTAATTGAATCGAATGCCTCGTTACGTGACAGTAGATTTTGATTTTGCAATTTGCATCGGTGAACTGATGCGAGCGCCCGCAATCTGCATGCGATGCATCGCTCAGCGGACAAATCTACCGTGACGTAGGGCTCTAAAACAATAGATTTGATGATGTCACAGTAGATTTCACTCGGAAAAGGACTCGGGACCGATGCATTCACTGATGCAAAATGGCTGAAAATCGATGCAAACCAAATCTACCGTGACGTAGGTGATGCATCAGCCTTCTACTGTGACGTCAAAGGATGCGGTAAAAAATAACATATTTTGTCGCGAAATTATTGACGCTTAAGTGTCGCAAAATAAAAAGTAAATAACAAAAAGTACACATTTGCGATCGCACGTCGCATATTGGACTTATTTTGACAATTTCGACTGTTATTGAGACTATTTAAATTGGATTTCATCCTAAATAGTGTATTCCTGACATGGAGTCAAGTTTATGCAAATATTTGCGGTTTGATAGCTCGAAAAAAGTGACGGAGATCGAAAAGAAACAGCAGGACAATACGGCCGAGATTCAGAAGAACAAGACCGAACTGGTTGATCTGAGCGAAGTCGGAAGAAATCCACCCGTTCAGATTCATCTCGTACAAAAGGCCGGACTACCTCCAGGATTTCTCGAAAGTGCACTCATTTCCGGAACCAACCGAAAAGATGCAAAATTCATCATCTTTAAGGTCGGTGGATTCGAGATTAATCAGGAAACTCAATCTCCCGCGTACGGATTTCGTACGGGAAATACTGGAAACGTCGTCATGTTTTGTGAAACGCAACGCAGCAAGATTGTTCGTACAACGTTCACGTTCTTTTACATGGGAAATAAAATTACCGTTTACGGATTAAAATTTAGAGATCTTGATGCAAACGGAAAAGCATACACCCGAAAAGGTGCGACGACCCTCAAATGCTTGCTGGTGACTTAAAAAATTTTTTAAGATCTTTTTTCATCTTAAAAAATTCGCGTCAGTACATAACCACCGCCCACGCCTAAAATTCCAACCGTCATCGTTAAATATTTTTGCATTTCATCCGACGGTTGATAATAATCTTCGAATTTGGGTTTACGGTCTAATGCTGATAAATCCTGTCGTCTGCTAAAATTTCTTAATTCATCTAACGCTTTATTCGTCTCTTCGATATCATGATTCGCGTCTAAGATTTCTTGTCGTCGTCGTAATTCTTCATTCCGTCTTTTCACTTCGGATTCGTAAAATTTTTCTTTGGCCGTCGCTAATTCTTCCAGCGCACGATTATGTCTTTTCACTTCTTCTTTGTACCCGTTTTGATTCAAGTGAGAAAATAAAAATCCTGCGCCTGCGAAAGCGACTGCATTAAATAATCCACCGACTACTAAATTTGTTGTCATAGTTTATTTACCGATTGTTTTTGGAACGTAACCTTTGTCTTTAAGATAGGCAATGGCAACGGAACTTCCTGCCACGGCCACTCCTAATTTTATCGCTCCTTCCAACGTCAACGGTGCACCTAAATTTTTACCCGCAATCATTTTCGCAGCGTATGAAATTCCAACGACTCCGGATGTTAAAAGTACAGCATCGTACAAGTCTTGGACTACTTCTTTTTTAGTATCATACATTCTCTCTTTTATTTCTTAAGTGAAAGAAATAAATTTTTTTTTTTTACCGTTCTTCTTTTACAAGTTTTTCGTCTTCGAGTTCGCGTATCTTTCTATCCCGTTCACCCAGTTCATCTTCGAGTTCATCTATCTCAGCCAGCAGGTATAATACCTTATCTTTAAGTTCGGTAATCTCTTTTTCCTGATCGCATACCTTGAAATTCTTTTTTCTCCAGATCTTTCTTGGTCTGCCTGATCTTTTCCTGTGCAACCAACCCACCTTTCTTCCCACGTAAAACTGCTTTCAGATCTTTTACGATATTACTTTTGTGGACAAGTTTACTTCGTGCTTCCGGCTGTTCAGAGCATGGAAGCTGGCGTAATCCTTCATCCTTTACGTTGTCAATAGCAGGCATCACTCCCGGTAACATATATTTCCCGGTTTTCCGAATGGATGGAAGAACATCGTCCACCACCCACCATTTAAATTCCCTGGCGGAGGGAAGTCTGGATCCAAATATAAGTTCATACACACCAGACTCTGTAACAAACACCCTGTTGGGTTGCTCACCACCGGGTGTATCAAGGGAGTCGCGTTTTGCGACCCCCTTTATTTTCCCGAGTGTGGTTCTGGATCTTTCGTCCGTATGCTTGATAATAGCATCGCGTGTGTTCTTATAGCCGAGTGCAGTTGCCAATTCCTTCGCTGCAAAATAGATTGTTCCGTCTTCAGTCTCCAGGATGAAAATCCTCTTATTCCCGATCAGTGCATGGTTTCCGCGGATGTGGATACTCATTCTCTTTTATTATCGTATAGAGTTTCTTATAAATACTTGGAGAAAAAAAAAAGTTTATTTAGTCAAACAAGTCGTCAAAAGGTTCCTTCAGAGAATCTTCCGGAGGATTTTTCGAAGAATCTTTTTTCACATCATCATCGTTCACAATCTCATTCACTTGTTTCACAGGATTTTTTTCACGACTTTGCCATGTTAAATACAATGATCCTAAACCAATTCCTAGTCCAAATATCATGCAGAGTCTTTCGACGGAAATCCATCCTCCTCCATCATTTTCCTTCATCCAACTTTCGCGGACTTCTGTTTTTAAATTTTCTTCGGCCCTTGCTTTTTTTGCAGCTTTTGCCTGTTGACTTATTTTTGCCAATCTTTTTCCCGCCTCGACTCGACGTGGATCCTTGACTTTTTTCGACGGGTCTAAAGGTTTGGTGCCCGGAACGAATTCTGAATTTACTTCTGTCATTTTCTTTATTGTATGAAAAGAAAATACTTTAATTTTATTTAACTTTGCTTAAAATTTACTTGAAAGATCCTACAGGATGAACGTAAAATTTACTAGGATTTTACTCGCGAAATCTTCTAGAACAGTCTTAAATTCTGTTAAAAGTTTCTACCAGGACTTACTTGTAAGGAATTTAAGAACAGTCTTAAATTCTGTTGAAAGTTTCTACCAAGACTTACTTGTAAGTAATTTGAAAACGGTCTTAAATTCTGTTGAAAGTTTCTACCAACACTGCATGAAATAAGTCACCAGGACCAGATAAAATAGGCATGCGTGTCATCAAAGACTGTCTTCCAATCATACTGGGTCCTCTTACGCATATAATAAATTGCTCTCTAATGACAAGCACATTCCCTGACCTATGAAAGATTTCTGAAGTTATACCCCTACTAAAAGAAGGAGACCACGAGATAGCTTCAAACAATCGGCCTCTCTCACTACTCGAGGTAGTTTCAAAAGTTTGTGAAAAAGTTGTTCTAAATCAATTTAGCTCCTACCTCAAAGAATTTAATCGCATATCGTCACATCAAAGCGGGAATAGGAGTCTTCACTCCACAGAAACCTTAAACATATTTGTTACCGATACGATGTTGGAAGCCATAGACAACAAAAATCTAACGGCACTAATTTTATTGGATTTATCCAAGGCATTTGACAGTGTCAGTCATTCGATTTTATTACACAAATTGAGTTGTATTGGTGCTTCACCCGAAGCTGTTAAATGGTTCCAAGACTATTTAACAGGCAGATCCCAATACGTGCGCATTGGATCCACCAAGTCATCAGCTCGCCCGATAAGCCATGGCGTTCCACAAGGTGCAATACTATCACCACTTCTGTTTTGCATCTATATTAATGATCTGCCAGGGAGCATACAATCGTGTAACTTTGATTCATACGTAGACGACTCAAAGCTTTACAAATCATTCTGCATCTACGACTTGGAACTGACAACTATCAATTTAGAGGCAGATCTACAAATAGCAGCCAAGTGGTGTTTGGAGCACCAATTACTGGTCAATCCAGAAAAAACTAAATTCCTTGTAGTCGGTTCAAGACCCATGCTGCAGAACGTACCTACAGAAATATCGCTAACATTTTTAGGAAAGACTATAAGA